GGCGTTGGTGCTGGTCTGTACGGTCGAGGTGCCGGCTATGGTGGTGCTGGTGCTGGGCTGTACGGTCGAGGTGCTGGTGGCGCTGGTGCTGGGCTGTACGGTCGAGGTGCCGGCTATGGTGGTGCTGGTGCTGGGCTGTACGGTCGAGGTGCCGGCTATGGTGGCGCTGGTGCTGGGCTGTACGCCGGATATGGTGGCGCTGGTGCTGGTCTGTACGGTCGAGGTGCTGGTGGCGTTGGTGCTGGGCTGTACGGTCGAGGCGCCGGATATGGTGGTGCTGGTGCTGGGCTGTTTGGTCGGGAAGCCGGCTACGGAGGCGCTGGTGCTGGGGTCGGAGCTGGCGTTGGCGGCGCGGGCCTCGGTAACGGATACGGCGGTGTTGGTGTCGGAGGAACTACGGGTGTCGGTGCTGGTGCCGGTGTCGGAGGTGGTGTGAGTGGTAACGTCGGTGCTGGCGTGGGCGTGGGCGGTAATGCTGCTGTCGGCGCTGGTGTGGGCGGGGCTGCGAACGGTGGAGTGAGTGCCAATGCTGGTGTCGGCGCGGGAGTGAGTGGGAACACTGGTGCTGGCGTCGGAGGTGGAGCGAGTGGAGGTGCTAACGGTGGAGTGAGCGCCAATGCTGGTGTCGGAGGTGGTGTCGGCGGATCGGCCGGTGTCGGCGGATCGGCCGGTGTGGGAGGAGCGGCAAGTACTGGTGCGGGTGGAGCTACGACAACGACGGACGGCAAAACTAGCACATCTACGTCGCAGAACGGCGGGGCCAAGGCAACTGCAACTACCACGACTGCAGGCACGACCACCGGCACCGCCGGCACGGGTGCTTCGACGAAGCAGACAGGTTATCGCATGCTGCGATCGCAGTGAGCCGAGGAATAGTGTCTTGTTGACTACTTCTCCTGGCAACGTTGATCAACTCTTAGCTCATCTCGCTCAAAGAGGCGATCTGTCGATATCTGTGTATAATTTTTAATACCGTCGTGTAGTAAGAAAATAAATGTGCTGTTTCTCATTGCTGTCGGGTTTTGCTTCTTTATGCGTCGCTTGCACTTAGTAAGCATCGTATGAATCTAATTTGCTGAATGTTTGGTGCGTAGAGCACTTTTTGATTCCGAATTATACTATGTTTAGTAACTGTGATATTGAAGCTGCACTCGAGAAAGGCAACTTGCTGCTTTTGTGAGTACATGAGCAAAAGAAAACATCGAGTAGCTTAGCTCAGGATTCTAGCGCACTCTTGCGTGCTGGCTGCATTATTGACCAGCTCCCGGCCGTCTGCACCGGGCCCGTATCCAGTTAAGAGCAGTCATGACCGTGTCAGCTGCGTGACGGTCATTGGAGGCACATGTTACTTAGAGTTTGGCCTTTGCAAGAACCTACAATGTAAGCATACCGGTACATATGGGCCTCCGCATACTAGCAAAATGCTGGTCATCATGGCGTCCAAAAAGACCTTGTCCCTGTCGATTGTGTGTCTATACCAAGTAGACTCCTCGCACGCAGTGTGCTCTCTTATACCTACCTGCCTTGTACACATGATCTAGACGACCGTCAATGCGGGACCGACGGAAAAGGTTGCCGAGTGGCGCCGTCCAGAGCTCATTTCCCATTCTCCTCACTCGAGCTCACATCAAACAGCTCTCGTGCATTCGAAGGCTGTCCAAGAACACGCAAGCGCAACATGTTCAGCAGTAGCAAGATCGCCGCCGTGTGCCTCGCCGTCGTGGCGCTAACCAACAGCGCGTATGCTGAGAAGGAGGCCGCCCAGACGTTCGGACTGCTTGGCGCTGGTCTGCACGGTGGTGCGGGACTCTATGGAGCTGGCGCTGCCGGTCTTTATGGTGAAGCCGGCGTTGGTGCTGGTCTGTACGGTCGAGGTGCCGGCTATGGTGGCGCTGGTGCTGGTCTGTACGGTCGAGGTGCTGGTGGCGTTGGTGCTGGTCTGTACGGTCGAGGCGCCGGATATGGTGGTGCTGGTGCTGGGCTGTACGGTCGAGGTGCCGGCTATGGTGGCGCTGGTGCTGGGCTGTACGCCGGATATGGTGGTGCTGGTGCTGGGCTGTTTGGTCGGGAAGCCGGCTACGGAGGCGCTGGTGCTGGGGTCGGAGCTGGCGTTGGCGGCGCGGGCCTCGGTAACGGATACGGCGGTGTTGGTGTCGGAGGAACTACGGGTGTCGGTGCTGGTGCCGGTGTCGGAGGTGGTGTGAGTGGTAACGTCGGTGCTGGCGTGGGCGTGGGCGGTAATGCTGCTGTCGGCGCTGGTGTGGGCGGGGCTGCGAACGGTGGAGTGAGTGCCAATGCTGGTGTCGGCGCGGGAGTGAGTGGGAACACTGGTGCTGGCGTCGGAGGTGGAGCGAGTGGAGGTGCTAACGGTGGAGTGAGCGCCAATGCTGGTGTCGGAGGTGGTGTCGGCGGATCGGCCGGTGTCGGCGGATCGGCCGGTGTGGGAGGAGCGGCAAGTACTGGTGCGGGTGGAGCTACGACAACGACGGACGGCAGAACTAGCACATCTACGTCGCAGAACGGCGGGGCCAAGGCAACTGCAACTACCACGACTGCAGGCACGACCACCGGCACCGCCGGCACGGGTGCTTCGACGAAGCAGACAGGTTATCGCATGCTGCGGTCGCAGTGAGCCGAGGAATAGTGTCTTGTTGACTTCTTCTCCTGGCTACGTTGATCAGCTCTTAACTCATCTCGCTCAAAGAGGCGATCTGTCGATATCTGTGTATAATTTTTAATACCGTCGTGTAGTAAGAAAATAAATGTGCTGTTTCTCATTGCTGTCGATTTTTTCTTCTCATTGCGTCGCTTGGGGATCGGCGATCAACTTTTCTCATCAACCTAAAGCAAAAAAAAAACGATGCCCTTATTTTGAAATGCAGGAAGTCGCCTTTCTGGATAATATCTTTAACATCGTCCTAGCATGTATTTGTATTATTTAAAAAACAAAAGTGTCGGCAAATATTGCAGCTTCTGTGAAGCATCAAGATTCTTCGCCAGCAAGGCAATTTCTTGCGCGTGATGGTTGCCAGCAGTATCAAAATGGCTGATAGACATATCTTGTATCTTGAAGGTCGAGAAAGAAAAACTACAGATCTTACAAATACGATCTTGCAGTGTACAGCTATTTTTTTAATACAATGAAAACCTACGCAGCTACTAAAGGATATCACACAAGCGGTATCGCAGGGAATCAATTACCTGTAGGTATTGAGCCTAAGGCGAGCACGCACTGATTTCGGCTACCATATTCAGCTCTTAAGATACCCGCTCAACAAATTAACTCTAAAACTGTAACAGTTCAAATTCGTGTTTTGAATACTAAGCTCAAATCACATTCTACTTTGTCTATGACTATTGAGGCAAATAGGTTGTAAGTTTCGAAGAGCCTGCAGCTTTTACCGTCGAAAAAGGATGACGGAGAAAGAGGTGAAGATTGGTGTAAATGACACGAGTGGTTTGGAGGTGTGGACGTTGCGGGGACACTCAACTGGATCTGTTAATCGGAGGAAAACGTACGGCTCCGAGTCACGAAGGAAGATGTCAAGGCGAAAAGGCCCCCTATTCACGTCCTGGTGATGGTTACAGAGACTGCTGGAGTTGGCGTGGCGTCAGTTGAGCCCTCCGCTCTACCAACGGCAAAGCGTCATCATCCTGAACGTCTCAAGCGATTAGCTGCGGCTAGCGAAAAGGTTCGACAGAAGAGTCGAGGCGAAAACGAGAAGACGAGAAGTGAAGACAATTAAAGGAAGCGAAAGAACAGGGATCTCGATAGCTCAGAGTCGTATTTAAGCTTGTCATGGGCTGAAACTGAGCCGATTCTGCCATTGGAATACTTCGACTCTTAAAGTGAAGCCAATTCCTATGGAGGCTGTGGAGCAGACACTGACCCGGTTCTCTTAAACGATGAAGTTGTACGAGAATGCCTATTTAGGAAAGGAAGCCAAGCGCAAGGTGTTCATTGTGACAGTTCTGGAAGCAGTTTGTCTTTTGCTCGATGATGTCGAGATCCTCTGCGAAGAGGAGAAAAAAAAAACCTACTCGTGCACGGTCAATTTGAGTTTGTGCGCAAGCGTGGCTCAAAGAGCATATCAATCGTCAAAGCAAAGCGCGACAGTATTGAGCAAAGAATGGCTCAGAATATTACCGTTCTGGAAGCGTTGGCTGACGTTGAAGGACTAGAGCAGACGTTTGGTGTTGCTACCACCTATCTCAATGGGGCGATTCAATGCATTGACACACACTCGACGCCCATAGATCGGTGCCTCCAGAAGGATATACAGCAGAAAGCTCCACGATGATTTCGAACAACACTTGCTGAAGCTAAGCCTATCAGAAGAGGGATTGTAGCAGTGTCATGTTAACATCCACTTAAGTACGCTATATAAAATAAAACAAAATATCGTACTTAATGGGATGTAAACTTTAAGGCAGAAAAGTTGTAGAAGTAAGACTCAGTTTACATGTAAATAAACGCTCTATTGGAGCGCTTAAGCTGCAAATTTGGTCGGAATTCACAGAGCTGTGCTATTTTTAAAATATTTACATGTCGCAGCTACAACATGGAACATTACAAGTAAGCCTTTTTTAATATTGCGAACAATTTAAAAAAAACTCACAGCTGTGCTTGGATCGCCGTATTAATAGCCACTGTACGACAAGGTACCGGCTAAGATTTATTTCTCAGAAACGGGAACAAATTCAAAACTGATCTGAAGTAATTTTAAGCGACGATTTTATTTTTTTGTGTAATCGTATGAAGTTTTTAGCGAGCAGTGTCTGTGTGCTCTCCCGGTTTGAAAGGCGCATACTGTAAAACGTTTAATCCAAATACCCACGATGAGTATGGTACCGATACAATTCCAGGGCTGCAGAGAGAGCTGTTTTGTGACCATGTTTTAATTTCAACATCGTTTCCTGCTACGTATTCGATGAAACAATCCGCTCTTCTTACTCTCAGTATCGTCTTCCTTTCGTCTAATAGCTATAGCACCGAGCAACTACGCATACTTGTATCCCCGAGTCATCCGTTTTTGGAAAAATAGGTCATAGACTTTAGCGAACGCGGGGTAGATCGTCTCGACCCATTCGGGTGTCTTTTTGGTCCAGATCCAGGCGTTGTACTGGAAGTTTCTCCAAAACTTGTTGTTAGAATGCTTCTTAATCCAAAATGGTATCTTCTCGGTATGTGGTGATACTGGTTGTGCCAATTTCTGCAGCTTCTGCGAAGTCGCGAGCTTATCCGTTGAAGAAAGCCTGCTTAAGCCATTTAAGCCTCCGTTCTTCTCAATTAAGGGTACCTTAAGTACCTTCTCCACGATTGAGAGCTGAGACGTACTAGCCCTTTTCTCGGCATTCTTATCATTCGCATTTTCGTTCTCTGTCTCTTTGTCTCGGAGGTACCGCTTGGTAGGACCATCAATTCCCGTGGTCGTATGCGATTGTAAAGTGTCCGGCGAGGTAGCATCAATGACTTGAATCGAATCCCTGGTTGTTGATATCGCACCACTGCTTACCGCGAGAGTAGCTACCATGAGGAGATAGACGAAGTAGGCACGCATAAGGGCACGCATAAGGAGCTGCTTTCTAGCTTTGATCCTAGGCAGAAAATTGTCGAGTGACAGCTCCGCATTGTCCAGTTAAGTATTACTGCACAAACAAAACTGAGTGTTGATGGATACGCCGTCATCACATAATAAAAGTACAGACTAAAAAACAGATGTCGGTGGACGCGCCTCAGACGAGCGCGCCAAAATCGGGAGAGCATTAAAAAACGAGAGCAGCTGAGACTTTAGCGCGAAAATGCGTTTTGACGGAGAAGTGTGATTTAGTTTGCTCGTTTCCACAGGCTGTACTTTTGACTTGATCATGTAATATATCTCGCAGGTATCTTCCAATTATACATGTACGGCTACAGTAGAAAACACGAATTACCGTAAATACATCAAAGTTTCATGACTGGCCGTAAAAATTGTTGAGGCTGACAGAAAGATAGCGGATACTGTACGACAGCACGTTTGTGCATGAATCTTATTCCATCAATTAGATCGTTGGCGTTTCTCTTCACTAACAAAAACCTTACAAACAGAATTCGTATACCCATCTTGCTCGACCAAAGCGAGTGGCTGCGGGACGAAGGGGTCGCAGTGCGTGAATGCGATGAATGTGAAGGATGCAAGCTGAAAAGAAACCAAAAGAAAGTTGTGCAATCATCAGCTCGGCACTTCTTCTGAAGGTGAATGGGTAGGAGAGAATGCGTCCTACTAGGTCTCCTAAAGTGTCCTATTGTTCTAAAACCTGGGATAAAAAACTAGCAATCGGCTCATAAACAATCCAATATTTAGGACACCACAATGTGTTTTAGGACGAAACAAGCCAGGCTCCGCGTGTCCTAATAGGACACTCGACAACTCAACACTTATTATGTCCTATTAGGACACACATCAACTCAGACTACTGTCCTATTAGGACAACATCAAACCCAACATGCACTGTCCTATTAGGACAACGCTACTAATTTTCTACTGTCTTATCAATATATTTCAATTATTCATCTATAATTCACAAGAGCAATTACACATGGGGAAATTGTATTAGTAAGTTCTATCTGCATCTACTCAAAGCTTTTGTAGTCTTCAGGAATCGCTGGTGGGGCATGCTGAGGGGCTTTCTGGCGGAGGTGTTTGATAAACTCGATACGCTGGATATAGCGTGCAGCCTCACGCTTAGTGCCTTCAATAAAGGCTAAAAGGCCAGGATGTATACCCATTCGGGCCGCAAAGTCACGATTGTACTTCTCCAATGGATTGTTGGTACAGTTGATCACATCAACCCCAACACGCATCATCTCCTGAACATTCCACATCGTAACGTCATACCTTTCCATCCAAGTCTTCAAAAAATACTTCCAGAATGCATTCCACTTTGTCTTTGCTCCAGTTTCGTCGACTATTAATGAACGTATCTAACACCCTAAAAAAGTGCAAAAAGTGAGATCCAAAATATATTAGCATAAAAAAGGTCAGATTTAAGTTGTAAATAGGTATGATTAAAATAAAATAGTCCTTCCCTTTTTTTTAGATTTGGTCCACAGGGATGACAGCAAGCGTGTCCAGGTTTCCGGGACTGAGCGCGCTCTTTATTTGGCAGTCAGGAATACGTAGATCGACCATTTTTCGGCGTAGTGCCTGTTTCCAGTGAAACAAGCACCCTACGAGGTTGGCACGGGGAAACTGCTCCAGAACTGCGTTAATTAACGCCACTTCGAAGTCACAAGTGACGTTTTCAGGCTCCAACTGTGATGATAAGCTCATTTAGCACCCGCCAGTACATATCTTGCGACTTACCTTGAGCCAGCACGTAGCAAATGGGTACGTAGAGATTGACGGCAGGCTCAAACGCCATCACAATCAAGCATTGGCTGAAAGGTTTGGGTACCACCGAAAAGGTGCCGTCTATGAAAAGGGTAATCTTCGGATACCGCAGTATCATACCCAAATCAGGGTGCCCAAAACCGATCATGCGATGGATTCCGGTGGTCGTCTGTGTGGGGTACGCCACACGAAACTGTAGAAAGGACCTGGGGTCCTTGTCACTTACACAGCGTACTGATTGAGAGAGTATGGCCTCGTACACATCACCGCCCGTACACTCTTTGCGTGTCTGCTTCACTATAGAGACGGCAGGTGCGCATGGAATGCTAGTGAGCGTGGCGTCGTCGGCAGCACATGGCGCTTGGTCCCGTCGTACACCTCTTGCCAGACAACTGGTGGAGGGGTAGCCATGTTGCTGACGCTGCGTCGCTGTAGCTCTAGGCGCATTTCGCTGCGCACATCAATGACTTGTGGCACCGCCTCGTCGCACGTATGTTTACCCCGTCTGCTACAACTGCACCTGATCGGTCAGTTATCTTAGCCTTGCATCCTTTGCGGAACCGCTTGCAGACGTAGTAAACCGTGCTTGTTTCAGGACACGAGCGCTTGATGCAGAAGGAGTAGCCGCGATGGTCCATGGTGCTTAGCTGTCGTGGTGGAGAATGATAAATGGTTGGTAGTGTGTCTTAGGACAGTAAGTAACGCTAATGTGAGTATTAAGTAACGCTTATGTAATTTTAAGTAGAAGGTCCAGAAGAAAGTTAATATTTGAGTTTTAGGACAACATGGCTTGAGTTAAATAAACAAACTATAAGTCTCCTATAGAAATCAATGTCATCAGCCAATGGTTGGCCTCGGACGACCCTGGTACCATGTACCAGATATCTCGAAGTATGACGTGTCACTTCATGTAAGTAGGGGACACCTGGGGCTATGTACCCGTTACAGCAATGATGAATTTCACCACTTCAATTCAATACCCTTTACCTTAACAATTGCCATTTCAACTTGCACTTATTTAATACATTCAAACAAATTTGACCATTCGTGAATAAATTATTCGCAACATTTGTATAAAAAAAAAAGCGAAGCTCTCCATAAGAAACTCCTTTTGTCTGAAATAGCACGGCTCCGCCCAGCATAATGCTCCTTAAATATCTCCACAAGTTTGGTGAAACTTCAATCGGTAAGACCAACGCAATGTGGAAACTATTAAATGCACATTCACCGGTGTAGGATAATGCGTCCTGAGACACGTCCTAAAGTGTCCTATTTGTCCTAAATTTTACAGGGAGATTTTGGAGATGTGTCCTAAAAAGCGACTAATCCTTCGTTACAGAATATTATAATTTGTGTCCTCACACGGTTAGCGCGTGCAGCATTGTCGCTCTAGTTGGCCTTATAGAAAAAATTTAAGGCCAGTCAGGAGTAGACCTGCATATGAGTGGTTCTTAGAGGTCTGGGGCTCCTGCCCTGCTCCTAAATTAAATCAGAGTCTATTTTAATACGACTTAAGCCTATCTTGCTTGTGAGCTTCCTCGCCGCTACGTGTACGCCAGCGACGGGAGACACATAGCCCATTACAGAGAGAGCATCGTCCTACTTGTGGCAGATGGTGAGTGTGCAGGTAGTACAGATGGGCTTGACAGCGTAAACCCGGCATGATATGGGCTGTATCTAGAAGATCGTCTCAGCGATGGACCAGGAGGCGGTCGGATAGTTCCGGTCCCTACCCTTGAAGCGCCACGAGACGGATGTGGTGACGCTGACGGCGTACACGTTGGCGTGCCCGTTGGGCTCATCGTGCTCGCTGTGTTCCGCAGTGAAAAGAAGGCCGCCAGGAGGATCGCGGGCCTCCTTGAACTACAATTGGTACTATCTTTTAGACACTTTAGGACGTTTTATACATCGCTAACCGGTTGAAAACACTTAAGGTTATTTTAGACATGGCAGAGACTACGTACACCGCTTATTAGCTTACTTTTTGTATCAGGGATTTTTATCGTGTGATGGGGAGTGTAGGAGGACGAGTGTCATTGCTATCATGAGTTTTGAAAAAAAGATTATCTCACCTGGCGAGTGCAGTGCTTGGCTCGCTGGAAAGCTCGGCGCTGGGCCCGCCAGCGCAAATACCGCGCGGGTTTGCTGCAGCTACGCGACCTCGCATTCCCTCGCCTCCGTTGATCCAGTCTTGAGCACATCCTCCCAAAAAACGGTGGATGTAGTTATTCTCTTTTAGATATTCTTTACTGGTATTCGTCCAATCCAAAATTATCCCAAAGCAAGACAGATGCTGCGGCTGCGAAGCAGTATATACCTTAGGACATCCCAGCTTTCACAAGATTATAGGTTTATCTATCGGAATCGTTATCATTGAACGCGAAAGAACAATGACGAGAGAATTAAGCTGGTAGTGCTGTTGAATTTAATCGTATTTGTTCAAGCGATCATATACAGATAGAATACATTACCACACTAGACTCCAGCACATCTAAAAACAATCTGCTTAAGAAGGTATTACGATTTGAGCGAGTTTATCATTTTCTATCACCGAGAAGATTGTTTCTTTCAGAACTTTACAGCCACAATTTCTCGTCGAGCTCACCAGCTACGGCGACCACCGCCCTAGGGCACTATACTTCATCGCCGCGGCGGTGAGTGGGCTGCTGCGATTATCTTCGCTTCTCGTTTACTTATCGTCCATTTATTTACTTGCATCCGCTTTGCTCGGGGAAGTTTTGGGCCAAACGAGACCACCACTAGTGACGCCCGCGGCTGCTGGCCCGATACGGCCTAACGACACATAGGAGCGGACTTATCACTACGCAAAAAAATACCGCATGATGAGGGAGGGCTCCGAAATCACTATGTCCAGGAGCCTCTGTGTCTCGATATTGCGTCAAGTGGCAGCAGCAAGGCATTGAAACCACTGCGGCTTTTACTGAGCAAGGGCTGGAGGTAGACGGATGATGCCGCACTGCCTGGCGGCGCTACGTGCGATCGACACACACCTCAACGGCCTTGACAGCTTTGTTTACAGACATCTTTATCGTTATTATGATCGACTATTAATAGTGATATTCTTGCGCAGCACCTAGCAGTGTAAGAAAAGCTAAAAAGTAAATTTTCTAAGAAAGCATCTCCAAGCATTTATTATTACGTCGAGGAGTAAAGTAATCTATATTTTGTTTCGTACACCA